TCCCACAGGAACGTGTGGTTTCAGGCGTGCGATGGTTGGTGCGAAGTCTTCAAGCCGCGAGTCCTTGGTCGACTCTGCCAGGACCTGGCCAATGAGCTGCGGGAACTGCATGCAGACCGTCCGAATGTGCAGGTGTCGCTTTGAACCGACCGAGTTTTCCTCGGTGTCGGCGGTGTCGTGCAGTTGAACCCCGGGCAGGGTCGGCCACGGACGTTTTCATGGGGGAGCCAAGCTGAAGGATACCAGATCTGCTAGAGTTTTATCGATGTGGGTTGGTTTGTGCATGCTGGTTGCAAGGCGCCAGTGATACTTAGAACAGCTCATCGAAATGGACATGGAATGTGGGATGGTTTGTACTAGTCATTCCGGGCAGACCAAGCATTGGTCCGCGCGGAACGTCTTCCTGTTGGCATTCCCCCAGTTGAGAGAGAGAGAGAGAGATCAGCGGGGAGAGTTGAGCATCGAGATTTACTAGCTTCTCCCTTTGGGAACAAGCCCACAGATGTACACCAGAGGTTTCTCCTTGGTCTGCCGTTTTGTGGCAGCCTTCGGTTTGTTCGAAAGGAGGACGAGTTCTCCGACCCCAAAACTTGAAGGCTTTCCTTTTCCCTTTACAGAAGTGCTTTCTGGTGTGGCGTGCCCCAAATCTACCGAGCTTTTCTTCCCAACATGACACCAAAACAAGTGGGCCCCCAATTGGGGCCAATTGGACCAATGTATACCACACCGCACGTGTCAAAAAAGAGCCTTTAGACTTTAGTCCATGCAATCACCAGAAAAAAACGATACACATCTTCTCAGTTTCCCCCGGCGGCCCTGGCAGGTTCTGAACCAATGCCTCTCGCCCTCGAGCTGGGTCACTGCCGTCGTGAGTGCGGTCTGGAACCGCGAGCGGCGCCTGCCGCCGCCCAGGCGCACCGCATGGCGACCGTGCGTTGTGAGCTTGCGGCCGCACGACCGTGGTGACCCCTTCTTTCCTGGTTTTGGCGGGTGCTACAATATCTACAATGGCCTCCTCGGTTTATTGAGACCAAAGAACAAAAACGCAACAAATGTAACATTACAACGCATGCAAAAACCGCGGCTGTTTGCAAGGTCACCCCCACTTTGAGCTATTCTTTCTTGCTAAAAGCAGAGTTGGTTCCACAGCCTTTTGCCAGTATACCCCAGTGAAAAGGCTATCAAGCAACATGCTTGTTCAGACTTGTGTTTGCTGAGGAGACCGGCGTAATCCAGTGTACAACTGTACAAGTACTGCTGGGAGTGCGTTCTTCATTCTCCCAGACTATGCCATAACTATGCAATCAAAACTAAGACTCCTCCAGAAGCACGTGTCGACCATCCACTTGCAACCATCGCAAGGGGTTCTGGGGTCGACCACTCATCTTCGCAAGCACTCGGCTCTTTTGCTCACACGCTTATTTGCTCTCCCTAGAACTATCGTGGGCGTGGAAAAGGCCCCCTCTGCAAAGGAACACGGTCTTTCCAGAGTCGATTGTCCACTTCCATGTTAGTTCCAGGGAGAGTATGTCCTGTTTCTTTTTTTTGGGGTCACCAATCGAAGCTCCTGTCATTGCATTTACACATGGCTGGATCATCTCCATACACCAGGAGCTATTTATGCTACGGGTAAGTAAGATGACACGACCTTCACAAGGTCATCGTCCTTTTTTGACCAGACACTAGGAATTCGCAGTGGAGTATGTTAGCACGACTTCTTAAGAAGCCTTTGGACCGAACACATCCTGGATTCCCGGATGTTCTCCCAGCAACATGGGCGACTGCATGATGGAATCATCCATCCCCGGAGGTCCGGAGGTCCGGAACGCCGCGCTGTTCTCACGCGGTTCCGATTCCATCAGCTGACCCCACCCAGGTCTTTCTTCCCTTTCTTCCTCAAGATCGACGTGGACAATGGCGATTGCGACTTCCTGGCGGCCTGGCTCGACGCCGGCCTTCGACCAGTCTTCTTGGATTTGGAGTTGATCCACTCCTATGTGCCACCAGAGATTCAGGCAGCTTTAGCACGAAAAGTGAAAAGCGAAGTTGTACGGCTCTAATTTACCCTTCCAGACTCAACAGCTTCTTGGGTTTGCTAGCGAAGTTTTCCCTTCTTGGGACAAGGAAATGAGTATACAGTATACACCTGCTAGACCAGGCAGCATGTTCTACAAGAGTCGCTGACCAGATGAAAAAGGTGAGCCATAACACTGGGAAACCTTTGCAATCTAGCCATTAGCCCATGGTATACCGTATGAGCAGAGAGTTAAACAAGTTTGTACTTTTTCTTGTTTGAACGTTTAACCTGATCCGTTCCCATTTGGGGGGCCGCCGGCAGGTGAGCTTTCCCTACGTCCACCTGGGCCAGTGGGACTTCACGGAGAGCCGTGCGGACGACGTCATCGCGCGCGGCTGCAGTCTGGGCGCAGCTGCCCACATCCTGGGTGATGAGTACGTCTTGCTCTCCTGGAGCTATGACAAGGAAGTTCGGATGGAACATCTTTTTGGGGGGAATAGCACCATAGATGGCATAGGTGGGTCACAAGTGCAAGAAAGTAGTACATCTAAGAGAGAGTCCCCTGGCAGCTCAACATAGAAACTGGGAAGATCATCGCATGGAAGAGCAGGCCGTCCGTGTTTCTTTTAGCAGAGTCTATCCTCCAAAGACCTAAAGTTGTGGGAGTACGTACTTAGGTGGAGCTCTGAACCAACCACATCAGATTCACATCGAAGATAAATTCACACACTGGTATGGTACATGGCTGATGTCAGCAACACCAACTTGAAAAAACAACCAGAAAACAACACCTACGCGCATCCGTCCAGCCCCCCGCCGGAACTGCTCACGGAATTCGATCGCACTGTGGAGGACGTCAATGCCCAGTTTCTGCACGTCGACTGGGCCCAGCAGTTGCAGCAACCCGTCGTGCGGCTCCGCGACGCCGGCGATGTGACGACGCCGTCGCTGGGGCGCTTCTGGCGACGGGCGGTGAGTCTACGGGAGGCGATGTGGAGGGTGGGGAGGCTTGAAAGTAGAAGTATGGTGGTCCCCAAACAGATAGACGTTTGTTTTCCCACACAATTTTAGAGAGGATATGAGAGGATTGACTTTTCATGAGGGTCACTATATCAATCTATATCTATATGTATATCCTTGGATGGGCTCTGAGGTCAACACCTGGTCCTTACAAACCGGTTCGGTCACAAATTTTCTCTTCCTTGGACGACCTCGGGGGCGACACGCACCCACAACGCATGTCATCAGACAGACGGAGATCTCGCGACCCAACCCGCGTGGGACCCAACCCGACGGCTTCGGCGCCTCGGACGGTTCAGCCCTTGCCGTGAACGGTCACTGCCCATTGCGACGGACAGGGAAGACGGAGAACTGGTAGCCCGACCCATAGATTTGGGCCAACATGCTCAAGAAACCATTCTAAATTATATAAGTGGATTGATTCACTTCGCGTGACACATGCCTTCTCGCGCGCGGCCGGCACCCCACGCAGGCCTGGGATGATCACAACTGGCACGGCTTGGAACTGCCCTTGGAGTTCCTCCTCTCCGAGGAGATTTCCTTGGAGCGGAAGAGCCTCGCTGGAGATCTTTTTGAACACACGAGGAGTTGGTGGGTGGGAGTTGAGTTGGTGGGTCGAGATAGAGTCTGAGTTTGAGAGAGTTTTTCTATCTCTCTGGGGGGGTGAACAGGTGGATGGACAGGAGACTGTTTAGTTCTGTAATTTGAAACTGCCACATGTCTCACAACAAGATTGCCTGATAGAGGTAATAGGCCCTGTGAGAGGCGATCGCCAAGAAACTCTATGACGTGTCAAGTTTTTCTAGCCTTGTGAACCGCCGGGGGAGTTCCTCCCGAAAGGTCCTTCTGATGGTTATCTCGCAGTTGCCAAGTGTCTAGGCGTGCAGCCCTCACCGCAGCACATGGGCTGCTGAAAAAGGATGCCGGCCATTTCTGGGTGTGGAGCCCTACCCGCGGCCCTTTAAACCTTTGAAGCTGGTGGATGCAGGGATGTCCACGCTGCAACGAACGCATCATGACCCCCTGCACTGGTTTTTTAAGTGGGCGGGGGGGGGGTTGCCGTTTGCCCATGGAGTCAAATTCGTTTCTCTTCCAATTGCTGGCGAAGCTCCATCTTTTTCTGGTCGAAGACTCAGATGTGATCTCTCCAAAGACCGTGTCACCAGCGCACAAGGGCAGAGGGAGGTTGCCGCATCTCAGGCCCACCAGGACCTCAGAAGCAGACTGGGTGACTACCCCTTCAACACTTCAACGTTCATCCCAGCCTCCACAGGAAGCGGAAAGTAGGCACCATTGCCGTTTGGATCCCAAACCTGGTCGCATTGGGGGGACTGCTTCGACCTCCCACCTTTCTTCGACCTCTCACCAATATATATATATATACACTGTATATATATTAGATATCTTATAATACAATATAATATAATATAGTACAATATAATATAGTATAATAAAAAATAATATAATACAATACAATATATTATAATATAGTATATATATAGTTGTTTTTTTCTTGAAAGGGCCTCTTGATTTCCGTGCTTGGGAGGTCTTGCAGGGCATCTTGAACCACACCATGGTCCTTTCAGTCGAACACAGTTGCACTTGTTCAATTCTTCGCCGCGCTCGGCCCTTGCAGTTGGGGGGGCTGAAGGGTTGAAGGATGTCACGAGGGCAGGATAAACCTGAGACATTTGGGTAGTTCTTTAAGTCAAGGTTGTTTCTTTAAGGTTTTGAAACAAAGTAATTACTCGACGACGACAACAACAACAACAACAACAGAATCAAGGTGAACTTTCCTCACGCATTTCACCAGGTTTCAACCACATGTTCCTTGTTATTTCCAACATCATCTAACTTCTATAGGTACTTAGGTGGAATGGACACCAACCCTTGAGCTTGATTCTGCCTTGAACTTTTGCAATCCCTTGGTGCAGTGTAAGAGTCCGATCACATCTCATGTGGCGTCGGATTACAGCGAGTCTGCGCTCCCCCATTCCTTACGCGGTCTGCTCTCGATGCCATGGGCTCTGGTGGCTCTGTGGTGGAGGCGGGGTGTTCTGCTTCGACCATCTGTGGGTCCGGCCTCATTGACTCCCAAAAGATCTCTGCTTTTCAAAAGGCAACCCCTTTAGGTCCTGTTAGGGGAAGCCTCCGTTGGTCTTTGTCTCAGCCTCAACCCCAGTGTTGCGCAGTAAGCTCACTTTCCACATCCACCAAGCACCGCTTCACTTCATACAGCACCACGGTCGTTACACACCGTGGAGACGTGGTTTGACCTGCGCCCAGGATGCGACCGCAGCGACCGCAGCGCCCTCCTTGGCCGCGGTCGTGCAACGCTTATGGCGGAGCGCCGCTGAGGAGGGTGCCTTGGAGGCGGCGCTGGGAGACATGGCCAAGCAAGTGGATGACCCTCAGGTGAGGAGCGGGGCCAGGAGCGTGGTTCGCCACCGGAGCGTCCAACAGCCTTTTGGTTGGGGAGGCTTTCGTCTCCAGGCTGAAAAGCACTGGGCAGTGGGTTGGGTGAACGGACTGAGAGTGGGTTGGGTGAGATGTATTCTTGAAGCGACTATGAGGTCTGCTAGAGGAACCAAGGGTTGCTACAGTAGTTGCTGTAAGTTAGAGGAAACATTGTGAAATAAGACATGGAGGGGTGGCTGGGATGAAGTTGCCAGGAAGGGCTGCTCCGTTGCTCCTTGCCCTTTTCAGGTCGTTCGGGACGGACCAACGGTTGCGAAAAAGAGATCCCATGAGGTGGTTCACCGTGGTTCACCGTGGTTTACCACGGTATATATATATATATATGGTTGAACATGTTGTTAAATCTTCTTGTTAAACATGAGGTACTTCCCAAATCTTCTTGCTAAATGTTTCTTCTTTTCAGTACTTGACCCTCTGCTGTTCCGTGATGCTTGGTGCAGGTGCAACAGCTGGGCTGCTTCGTTTTAGCCGGCCTCACCGCGGGGGAGGAGGAGGATGTGCTGGTGGCGGAGCAACGGCACCGCGCGGTGAAGGTGGGCAGCTGTGGCGAACGGCGGTGACGACCAAGGGGGTCGAGTGGTTTGAAGACCTGGCAACATGCCATCCAAAGTGGGCCGCCCAAAGTGGATGAGTTCCGAGACATTTGGGACGCTCTTTTTAAGGTCCCCTTGGGACGCTCTAGAGACTCAGACGTCTGAACCCGTTACACGAAACGAATTCACCGTATTCTCGGGGGAGATGGCGATACCTTGGGTCTGTCCTATTTTTGAACCAGGCCTTGCCACTAACCATCATCATCCACTGTGACTGGCGGATAGACGGCACAGCGAAAACCCAATCCTTTTGACTCCTTGGACGGTCGGACCTGAACGTTAGACTCCGATGACAGGAATGATGTCGGTCATGTCCCCTGCCCTTGTAATTCAAGGTATAGGGAGTGATTCCCTGAAGGTTCATCCGTTTTCAACGTCGGCACAACATTCTGTGGAAAAAGCCAAAGAAGAAACCTATATACCTACCTGATCCTATATATATACCTACTGAATCAGCTCAACGTCAGGAACCTTTCCTTGCTTTTTGGGCAGCGCACCGGACAGAAACACACAAAAAGAACAGTGAGAAACGCCCATGGGACAGCGCTCTGCGATGATTTTCAGCATCCTCCGCTGCAAGGCCGGAGCGCTGGAAGCTCTCTGCGGCGCCGGCCGGCGCTTTCCGGACGAGGCACTTATTAGATATCATGGTCATTGCTTTAAGTCTTTTGATTGAATTGAAGCGGGACGCCCCCAACAATGAGTCCATGGTGTTTTGACTTGTATTGTTTCTCCTATTTTCCTTGTTGTTACTCACGAAAGATGCGTGCTCGCATGTTGTTTTACTGTAAACGTTTTGTGTCTTTTCGAGTTGTGAGACGGAGATTAAGGGGTCTTGGGAGCCTTTGGGTTGGTGCCTTTGTTAGCCCTTTGTCCGAATCTGCTTGTTGAGATTTGTTTATCAAAAAGTGTTCACTTGCCCATGGTTCACTGACAATGAGGTTTCAGGATCTTCACGAGTTGCTAGGATCTTCACTTGGGGCCATCAGGATCCTTTTTCGGTGAACAACACTGTCTCGGCATCCAAGGCGTTCGGCAGAAAGGTTGGTCCCCTGCTGTGCAGCCGAAGGTTCTATTGAAGGAACAATCGTATTTTGTCAAGACAGGCATTCTTTGTATGCCCGTGGGATTGTAAGACAGACAGCTTTATATAAACTATATTCTTTTGTGAAAGACAAGCTGGAATATCTATCTATCTATCTATCTATCTATCTATGTGAACCTTCCCACTACTTCTTCCGCACTTGCAGAGGCCAGAAAGTCTCCAGTCCAAACACCACTCCTGGCCAGGTGCCCTTGGACATCTAGAAAGTCTGTTTGTACTTCAAACACATGAAACTCACAACCTTTCCCAACTATGACTCTCTCTCTCTCTCTCTCCCCTTGCCCGTTCTCCTTTCCTTTCTTCCCCTTGGTCTTCCGTCCCCACACGCTTTCGGCCTTCTTGTTCCTGTCGGCCAGTTCCTTTCCGACCTCCGACCTCCGCGGGAGGTCGTCTTGCAGCGCCAGTGCTTGTTGGCGCTCTCCCACCTGGCCCACCACCGGACCCGAGCCGCCGAGGCGGCGCGTGCGCGCTGGTCGGCGTGGGTGGTTTTTTTCGGGATTAACCGGTGGACACCGAGGTGGACTCGCCTTCCGGAACGGGGTTGGAACGACATGGCCCGGTCTCCAGTTTTGGACCGAGTCCGGTCGGAGACTGGGACACCGCTATGCTGGTTCGGGAGACGACCCGGACCACTACTTCGCTTCCGCTGGTCTGGTCCTAACGCTGCCGCCTGTTTGCGAATATTGGTCGCTGTGATGGTTCAGACGACGAAAAAGACCCGAGACAGTCGCCGATTTTCTGGTCAATGGAACTGGTGGGTGGTCCATGCTTAAACGCATTTACTGTAACATACTGTAACATGGGTTTGAAGGTCCAAGGTTGTTTTTTTTCCGCGAGACTATCACGTCCCTTCACTGAGCGTGAGATGTTTTTCACGATTTGGAGCGCTGTGAAGGAGATTGGCCACGCCTTGGTGGATAGGCAGTCAAGATAGGGGCCACTGAAAAACACCAGCCAACTCAATTGTCCGGGCTGAAGAAAGGGGAACAACTGACCTGAATCAAAGCATAACATCCTTTAGAGTGTTTAGTTTTTTGGTAAAAAGGTTGGACCTTATTCAATAGGGGGTTCCTTGATCATGTAATTCCATTGTGCTAAGATGACTTCTGTAACTTCTTTTTGACGCTGACTCATGTGGTGTCTATATAGGTCGATGGTTTGTCTCGATGATACGCAGGTATCGACCAGGTATGGCGGCTGTGTGAAGCTCTATTTCTCAGACCTCGGCCATCACAGCCCACTGTGAAGGGATCCCCGAAGGCCGCTGTTCGTTTCGAGTCTCCCAAAACAAGAAAAACTCTAACTGGTGGGAGCTCCCCAACATTTCCCAATACAGATTTTTGGTCCTTTTTCACAAAAAACACATCATCTGTGAAACTCTCGAAGGATGAGGATGAGATGACGCCTGAAAGGTCTGGAGATTCGTCTAGAAGGTCTTTGTTCAACTAAAAAAAAGGACGCATCGACGCCACAAGCAGGGCCCCAAGACACCCAATCTGTGACCTGTTGCTGAGTCGCAGGTGGCGTCCAGGAATTGATTCCTCAAAACATCTCGAAGAACCTGTGAGCCTGTGGAATCCAAAGGATTTTTCAGAAGGGGGGGACATTACGATGTCTGGTGAATCATGGTGAATCAGAATCCAAATCCGTCCAACCCCCTCACTTGGTGCGACCGGTCTTCACCAGGCCGGCGCGATCAATGTGGCCCTCGCGGCCCTCCTGCCGCGCGAGTCCCCTCAGCACCCACGCCGGGCGGACGCGGCGTTGGCAGAGCCGGGAGTGAGGCCTGGGAAGGGGAGGAAGCGTGGATCGGCCAGGTCTTGTTACGGTGCGAAGGACCGACTCTAAGAAACCTGTCACTTGGTTATGGAGGGTGATGGTTATGGAGGTGAGTCTTCCGTAGCCTCTCAATTCATATGGCCTTTGGGGATCTCTGCTCCCTTGCTCCCTGGAGCATTTGTTGGGTATTGGAAGGTTCCTCAAGAGCTGAAGCCTCAAGTCTAGCAGAGTCAAGCATTTGCTCCCTCCACTAATGGCCCTCCTTTCGCCAGCTCCGGCCCCTCTTTCCTTCTTCCCTCCCATGCCTGGCCTCGCCCTCTTCCCCTTCGATGTGCTGAGCCGAGTGGCCTTCCCGGTGGCCGGACACACCCGTGGCGTTTCGCCGTGGCTTCGGAGCTCGGAGCTCAGGATTCTGCAGCAACTCGTGGAGCTGTCGCCCGAACGACGGGTCCGAGCCATCGAGGCCGAACGACCGGAGGGTTTTCCGAACGCCCGGGCAGCGAAGGCCGAGAAGCTCGGAACGAGAATCGAAGACTCGTCGTTTTTGGTACAAATGGGATATTTGTCATTATGTTGATTTACATGGTTCGTTTTTTTAAATCACTGGTCATACCGGGCTGAGATTCCAGGGCTAGAGCCAACAAACTTTATCCAGCTAGGAGTTTTTTGATATGGAGTTCTTAATCTCGAGCAGGGTTGGAACATGGACATTTATCCATGTGATGTTGGAAGATGAGAAGTCAAGATTTAAATTAGGCTGTGACATCTACCCCACCTATGTACCTGCACCAGAGATATTTTAAAGAGGTGTTATTAAAACATATAATAGATTACTATGGACCACGGATATTTACATGTCGGTGTCGGGGATTTATTGAACATTCAAGTTTTTGTGAATCGCTTTGTTGACATCTGAGCTGTGGTCAGGGCGCATGGCCAGGGCCGTTTTTCGTAGTTTTGAACATGCACGTGCTGCACAATGCAAAAGGGGTTCTCAACGACCCCCAATTCCTGGCCTTTTGGCGATCTCGCCAAGAGATGGAAGTAAGAACTTGGATGCATGATGGTAACATGTATTCTTGATGTCGGGGTAGCTTGTTTGGAGCCAGCCAAGGGGGGTATTGGAATCACCCAATTCACACGGCCCAAAAGCAAACTCAAACTCGCCTGCCTGTGGCTTCAAGTTGGGTAGGATGGGGACCTCGAAAAAGAACACTTCACAAGGAGCCCTGCACTCCTGTGCTGGTGGGTGGTGTTTTCCTTGGTGGGGTTTGGGTTTCTCGACCAGGGATGGTGAGTCTGTGGCATTGCAATCTCTGGCCAAGCAACATTTTGGTAGAAACTATGAAGATCCATTTTCCTTTTGGACAAAGGCCTGCATGTCATGTCACTGTTGGGTGGAAGGTGGAGCTGTGCCCAAGAACACCTGGGGTATCTAGCTAGACCGAACAGCACTCCGGCTGGGAGGTCCGTCGGTGTCCCATCGAGCTTCTCAACCGGAATGTGACATGCCACAGACGACCCAACCCCAGAACACCAGGTGGAAACTGCCGGAGAAGAAGAGAAAAGTGTGCCACCACCACCAAAGCAAGGGAACAACATTTCACTGAAAGAGGTCCGTTTTCCATCCATGTTCCATCCATGTCCCTTGGGACACCTCGCCCCTGCCTGCTTCACGGAAGCGACAGGCTGGGTTGATTGAAGCCTTGGCCTTGAACATGGCTGTCCTCAGCGCAGATCTTCAAGAGGTGCCCCACTCGGCGGCCTTAGTGGGCTGATGAGAGCTAAGGAGGTGGTGCGAAGGGGCTAGGTTTTCTGTTCAGGAGCAAGTGGCTTGATGTCATTATCAACTGCCAGCTTTAGAGACCTTCTAACAGAATACCCCATGGCCTCTGCAAGTGTGGTGCCAAACTGGGGTCTCACAAGGTTACTTAACAACATATATATATATATATACTGGTATGACTCTTTCCAAAACCTGGATATCACCTCTCTGGGTTGGAGTCGCCCTGGGACACGTCGCCCTCAACAGGTTGCAGTCGACCTTTTGGCCTCCAGCCTGTCGGATGGCTGGCCTGGTGCTGATGAACGTGCCACCCAGGCGATCGCCTGCCTGACTCGGAGAGAGAGAGAGAGAGAGAGAGTTGTGCGAGGTTGGGACATGTTGCAAGACCTTTGAGGGGGTTGCAGAAACCACCCGAACCGCTTGTTGATGCTTGTTTGGTCAAACGGTTAAACCCGCATGTTGTTTTTCAAGCCTCTTGTACCGGCTTTATCACGTTATCAGATTGTGAAACCAAACCTCCATCAACACCCTGCACAACACCTCCAACTAACTCTTTCACCCTAATCACTTTGTTGATGGGTTTGGAACAAGAGCATTGAATTGATTCCACATATATTATTCCGGATCAAAACCCACTCCCCCAGTGTTTTGGGATGTTAGAATTCCCAGCTGTTGGTCACGGAAAGGATTGTCCGCCTCAAGCTTCCATCGCACTTTGTACCCTTGGCAGTACTTTTTGAGAATCCGTCACCGGACCCCCCAAGCAACTGAACAGGTGACCGAAGCTAGTGTAACAGCGTGGTGAACTCCCAGACCCTAGATCCTTTTTCTCACTTCACCAACGCTGTGCAAGGACTCCTCCATCCTTTTTCACCCGTCCTACCCCTTGGGGGACGCGTACGGAGGCAAGATAGTACGGCCCTTCGAGGTGCGCAGTCTGTGGTCACATCAACCTCCCCAAGTGCCCTCTATCAGTGGAGTACGACATACTGACAGTCAGGGCAAAATGATATGATTGCTATTGATTTCCAGGCCTATTGGCTAGGTGTGTGTGAGGTGCGGGGTGTGGGCTGTGGAGTTGGACCAAGGTGGACCCCACATCTTTTCGCCAGGCTGGTGCCTTGGAAGCCCTCGTCTTCGCCATGCGTGGGGCACTGCCGGGCCGCTTCCGTGTGCTGCGCCGAGCGGCCACCGCGCTGGGGCTGGTGGGCGCGGTTGATCGCTCGGTGGAGGTGTGGCGGATCGCACAGATGCGGCGGGTCGTGGTGTGTAGAAATGGATGTATTCATGAGCCTTGTGAGCCTTGTGAGCGCTTACTGTGTTGCATGCTTCAACTGGTAAGACAGATGGCCTGCGGCGGTTTAACAGTTTAACACTTGTTTAAACATATACCGGTGACAAAGCTGTGCAGATAGAGTTTGTCGCGGCCCAGGGCGTCAAAAAGGTTGGCCGCCTGTGGTGGGCACAGTTCTAGTTGCAGTCTTTGCTTCTCAACCTAAAGTTAGGGAAAACCAAAAGGAGGTTCCCTCAAAACGAAGCCCTTAAACTAGTTTGATGTTCCCTCAAAACGAATCCCTTGAAACACATGCAAAAATGAAAATTGGCATAGCCCACATCGGACAGCTGAGCGCTTGCTTGTAAAGATTGGCCTGCGGCCAATTTCTAAGCTTCAGATATAAACTGCTGGTGGACCTTTCCCATACAAACAGTAGTCACCTGAATTCCATGTTAGATCTAAAGCTGGCAACTCATCCCAATCTTCGAGGGTGGCATCGTCGGGCATCGTCGTGACCTTCTCAAGCAGCTTTGAAGGGCAGTTGCCCTTCCCCCCACTAGGCCTTATGACCTGATGCACACGAAGCACATGCCTCATCTCAGGGCCATCTCGACCAGGCCGGTGCCCTGGAAGCTCTGGTGGACGCCCTGACGGCCACCAAGCGCGGCGACGTCGCGGAGCACCGAGCGCTGCAGTTCCACTGCTGCAGCGCGCTAGGGCTGCTGGGCCGCCCATGGGCGGAAAGAGCTACAGAGGTGAGAAGGGGAATGAGAAACGTGGGTTTTTGGGAAAGAGAAGGGGGATGCTGATGGATGCTGTTGCGGATCGCTAGGTCTTGTGGTTCAAGAAACATTTCTCCGGGTATCATCGCAATATTGATATTCTTCAATCTGGGCTTCCCAGTGGTTGCAATCCGGCACGGGTGTCGAAATTCAGTTTGCGCTGATCTGCAGGGCGAAATCACTGGTCTCTCCATTTTGGGAGCATCTGCCCTAGCTTGCACAACGTTTGTGGGTCTTGTCCAAGCGCGATCAGTCTTTGTATGCTTCGGACTGGACACAGACATCCATCATCTGCAGACGTCACCTCTTCCTCCGGGCTTCGGAGTGTGTGGAAGCCATGTTTGCAAGCCACTGTAAGCCACAGACCTTTGGGAATTTCACTGACACAACCTCCCAACGTATCAAGGAAAGCTGCCACCTGGTCTGTTTGTAGGGTGAAACTCTCAAGGAGTTTCGAATTCAATCCAAAAGAGAGAGAGAGAGAGGTGAGTTTGGGCCAAAGGTGAATACATTGCAAAGGTAAAACTGAAACTATACCTGGCTTTGAAGAATTCGACCTTATCGAAAGTTGGCTGTGCCCTCAATTTCCTGGTTCCAAGATTGGTGATTCTCCGTCAGCAACAAATGGGACCAAACAACTAGTAACAAGAAGCTACTAGCTGGAGGCCATAGCTAGGTTGGAGGTCATCTCTTCTAACCAGAAGCTATAGGGACAACAATCGAGCTCCTCCGCCGCCAGGCCGGAGCCTTGGAAGCCCTGATCGAGGCCATGCGAGACGCACCCGGTGACCCCGAGCTCCTGCAGGCGGGACACGTTCCGCCCGGACTCGCGGCCGCGGCCCGACCAGAGCGGCCCGACGAGAGCGACGGGCAAAGGGTCTGAGGATGTTGGAGGTTGCCTTTCTTCAGATGGTTTGAAAGGGTTTTTGCTCCTGTGCTGTGCTTGAAAAAGACCATTGGTTTTAGGGGTGAAGAACCTTGGTGGTATTCTCTCGTTTGCCCGGACCTCGATTTCTTAGAGGGACTCTTTGTGGGCAACGCCCGGGCTGAAGTTGCCATCATAGCAGAGGCGGAAGAACGTGAGGTGAAACACCCTTGTGACGAGACGGGTAGAGCAAGAGTCAAGAAGCAGAAAGAGTTGAGAGACAGAGTCAACTTCGGCGACGATACTCCTAAGGGGCCATAGGCAATAGGCCGTGCATCTTCTGCACCCGCTTGCTCTCCTCTCAACCGCAAGCACCTCGCTCTCACAAACAGGGTCTGGCATGCGATCACATCGATCTCCGAACATGCACTTTGCGTTCACAAGTCGAGTGTCAAAGTGCAGATTTTGCCGCAAGCCACACCTACACATGTAAGCCAGTGGCAAAAGCGCATCTGAAGAAGAAGAAGTAGAAGAAGAAGAAGCCTGCTGTGAAGTAGTTTCAGTGATAACTTGCGAAGTGCAGTGCCGAGGCTCAGTACAGCTGGGAAGGGGCCAGAGGGTTCGTACTGCAATCTTCCAATGTCTCCGCCAGCACATGCAATTGGCAATGAAAGCTCTGGGGAAAACGCGTGTTTGCGCACAGTACTTTTGATATATACATCAATTTCTGGTCTACGTGAGATCTTGTGGTACCATGTATATATATCTGGTAGTCACGTGATGCCCTACTAATCATTAGCAACTGGGAGACAGCAAACTTGTTCCTTGCACACACTTAGTTCAGAAACAACTCGTACAGTTTGGGTCTGATGAAGCAACTGCAAGACGTCTGCGCAATACAAAGCTCATCACTACATGATCAAGAAGACAAGGTCATGAGCATAGTTTAGTTTATTATTCCGCACAGCCTCAGCAAACTGATGCTTGACATCTACTAATATTCTCAGCATTTGTGAAGTTTTCCAGCAATGCTTCAGCAGAATCAGAAAGCTTACAGAAAGCTTACAGTAAGCTTATATAATCCTTGATCCTTGGAACATCACCCAAAAAACACTGCAACACGTGGCCCCCCCCACCGCGTCCCTCCATCCGGAAATCAGTGGTTCCTTCCTGGTGGTGAAATGCCACATCTAGCCGAACGCCCCTTGGGCCTTTACTTTGCGTGCGCCGTCTCCATCGTTTCCGTCTCCATCCAGGTGGCCTTTGGCGCCTTAGGGGTCCTCTGCGCTGGGTCCAACGACACCGACAGCCGTGTGGGGCGTGCTGAACGGGCCGTGCAGGCGGGTCTTGCGTTGGTCCCGGGCGGGCAGTGTGGGTCCCGAAATGTGGAGGTTGGTCTGATGAGTCTAAGAGTCTGAGGAGTTCTGGTGGTTCTGGAGAGGAATGGCTGGTGGTTTATGATGGATGGGTGGTTGCCTGATTGTTGTTTGGAGGTTTAGAATGAATCATTGTGGCGATTCCTAGTGCTGAGTCGGTTCAAGAACTCAGACTTGCAGCCAGTACTCAGTAAGGCCGATCTACATAAAATGTGCGACCTCCGGTCCTGGTCCCAAGGCCCACAATCAACTGTTCAGATACCATAACTCCGCCAATCCCAAGAGTGTTCTGGGGTTTGGAGAGTTTGGAGCAATGATTTCTGGGGTTTGGTGCCAAGAATACCTCAACAGGATGGTGTCATGAGTGCATTTTGGTCATTGGAAGAGGTGGAGGAGAGGCTGTGCTGGCCATAGACAAGTTGCAGATGTGCACACCATTTGCCCCAAAGTTACTGGTTTGTTTGTAGTTGAATCTAGCAGTTCACTTTCAGGGTCCAAGTGAATCTTGTAGTTTCTCGTAGGAATTTTTGGGGGGTGTACACGTCCGCAGTCAACGAAACGAAACACAAGAAAACAAAGGACCAAGATGCAAGGAAGGAGTGCTCGCACAACTATCCCAACACATGTTTCTCTCACACACACACACACATGCACGCACGCGCAGGCCGGAGTTGTACTATTGAGAGCCTGGTTGTTGCATGCGCTCCAGCCTCGCACCCTTGTCACGGCCAGGCCGGAGCCCTCGATCCACTTCTCACGGCACTGGCTTCGAAGACCGCGACGGCGGCGGCTGCGGGGGCACTGGGTGTGCTTTGCTGCAGCTGCGCAGCGAGGGCAGCCGAGGTGATCGTGCTGCGTGGTGGGATCAAGAGGAAATCCCGATGAGAATGAGATGATCTCATCTAATTAATGAGAATGATAATTTGAATGAGAATCAAGATCAATTTGGTGTAAACTCGTCTCATCAACCAAAGGACCGACCGAGAGCTGTGCATGATCTAGACCAAATTAAATCTGAGTAGTTGCCATGTGCGTCTGATGACTCATGACATTGGCTTTGTGTAAGCCTTCACAGGAGGTGAGCTGGGAGACTAGGCTGGTTGGTTGAAGCGTCCATTCCGATCCAAGTTCCCCCACTTCCGAATACCACTGGTGCTTCTCACTCACCGCAGGCCGGTGCTTCTTCAGCCTTGGCGGTGGCCATGCGCCATGGACCGCAGGACCTGACACTGCAGCAACGCGCCTGTGGCGCACTGGGGCGGCTGGCAGATGTGGATGGTGCAGATCTGGAGGCGAGGACTTCCGTGGAGACGAAGCACCTGGATGGGGTGGGAGGACACGGAAGCCGTGGGCTCATCTGAGGGTGGAGTCGTCGTGGGTCACGAAGATGGAAGGACGGGGGAACGAAGAGACCGAGATTGGAGAGAGAACGCATCCTTCACGGATTGAGTCCATCTTACGGTGCCACCGTGTGTTTTGGGGAGTCGACTTCCAGTGTTGAGTGGCCGCGACTGCTTGTGGAAGCCAATCTAATCTGATGAAGGAAACATATACCAACAAGATCTTAACTTGTAACATATTGAGTGCAAGATGATGACACTTGCTAGATATACTTTATGCTTCGAGCCTGACTGAGAGGTATCGTGCCTTTCTCTTCGATGCTGTCACTTGTGTTTGTTACTGCTGTTGCCGCTGAGCCATTGAGCCGCCAAGACTCGTTCTTGCTGGCGCAATTGAAGATGTTGCCAGATGTTTTCTTCCCTTGGCGTTCCCAAAACCAAAAGGTGGACGATCAGCGCACCAAAAGGGACGTCTTTGCATGTCCGCCGCGTCGAAGATCTCGTCGTTTTCCCATGTCGGCGACCTCTGGTCCGCCGGAGCCGCTTGAGGCAGAGGCCGTGAAGGCCTTAGTCGAGGCTCTTCGCCTTCATTCAGCAGATCAACAGGTTCAGGAGACCACCTGGGAGGACTCCAGGCACTTGGGTTTTCTTGAGAATCCCCAAGGCTCTGGGACGTTCCAAGGGATGGAATCCAAGCTCCAGCAAGCAAACACTCCAGGAGTACGCCAGCTACGCCCTCTGGAAGCAGCTTCGCAAAGAGCACGGAGGAGCTTGGCCCCTGGATCTGCCGCGTGCGCAGGCGCGCGACCGCCTGCGACGGCAGAGGGCAGATGGGCCTCTGGTAGGCCCCGGTGTGGTCCCCGAGGCCATCGCTACTTAGGTTGGAGGCCAATCGCTCTTGGACTTGAGGAGATTCTCCATCACATTCTATCCTGTCGGATTCCCGAAGCATTCCAACCGCTGGAGTCGGCCTGAACGCCGCGCGAACACGGTGTTTGTCGTCATCCTTCGCAGCTCGTTCTTCACGCCGTGCTCCTTCTGCTCCTTTCAGGCACAAGTCATCGAGCTCTTAGAGGCCTCATTGGCTTTCTACAGAGGACGTCTAATGATGTCCAATTTCATTGAGCTTCGGTCGAAGATGATCCCCCGAAGAGCGTGACGGGTATTGACGGGTTCTCCGGATTCTCAGCCGCTTTCGAAAAAACCAGCGGCCCCTGCCAGGACCTATTCTAATACTTGTGCACCTGCCAACAGAATCCAACAGCCGGGATGACAATGTCCTTGACCATCTACCAGTAGTTCCGCATGCTTGGAGGGTGGGGGTGCCCTTGTCACATCCACTCGCTTATGTAGTGACCCAAAAACCACCCAACTCCATGTGACTCCTGGTACGAGCTCCGCAGACCGTGCCACGGAGCGAGCAGGAAAAGAGCAGCACGAAGGCGTGGCTCAGCTCATCAAGCAGCTCAGGGAAGGACTCGGGGTTGAAGCTGAGTCAAGCTGCTTGAAGCCAAATGCCAAGCACCACAAAAACCCTGTGCAAAGGCCGGGAGGTTTGGCCCACTCAGACAAGTCTTTTCAGTGCAGCTTGGATGGGTAGCCCAACTTGGGTAGCCAGAGCGTCTGGTGCTCCGCTCAGAGTGGCCATGAGTGGCCCGGAACGCTCCACATCCGTCTAGTTCACAAGAGATCCACCTGTAAATCCCCTTTCAGTTATGATATGGTCCCCAACAGATCCACCAACATATTCTAGATCCACCTGTTCAAGATGGGATGTCTACAGAAGATGTTGGTCAATCTTTTCGACTTTGCCGATCGGCAGGATGCGTGATTCCTGATGCGCAGACCGTACTCAATGCAGAAGAGGTGGATCCGGTGGCGGATGCGTGAAATGGATGTGAATCCTGAGGTCCGATTGTCATTTGAGCTCTTTTTCTTTGAAAGGCTGCTGTCAAAACACAACCACCAGGTTCTGGCGTCCAAGTCGCGCACCAGATTCAGGAACAAGTTCTGTTTTTCGTTCGCCCTAGCCCCGGATCTTCGTGATGCTAATGATTTCCGCAGTGAACCACTGCGTAGCCGTCCAGCCCTCCCGATGACAGCCTTCTTTTGGGCGGTCTCCCTTTCCGCGGCGCGTACGCGCTGCGTTCGTGCCGGGGGAGGTTCAAGGGGCGTGTGGGGGGCCGTGGCAAAGCCAGGCCCACTCCACTGGGAACGGATAGGATTATCCGCAAGATGTGGATCAACTGGGTAGAAGAGTTGGTGCGAAGAACAAACTGAGCGAATTCGACCTCGGACGGATTTTGGAGGATGCCATGCGAAGGTTCCGAGGCAAAGGTTCCGAGGGCTTACAAAAGCACAAGCATTGTGGAATTTGAGCAGGTTTGCGTTTTTGATTCTGAGTTATACTGTAATTATGCTAGTACCCTCAGTTTTTGTCAAGGGAGGTTTGTTCATGGATTGACTCGTTACTTGGTTCCAGAGGACAAGATAATGGACAAGTTCCGCGATTGTGTGCCAAAGGCTGATCAAGTTTGATCAATCAACCCACACGTCTATTGCGGTTACAAAGAACTGGATTTATTCGCATCTCATTACCAGTCCATTGAGGAGTTGTTTTCGGTTTGTTCGATCTTTTCTCCAACGCTCAGGACCCTCTTTTTGAGGCCAAAGGGCCCACTAGTCACTTCGACCGGCCAACGTGTAGCACGTCCATCGCCCGTGTAGCTGACTTTCTCAAAGCAGGAAGCTCTAGTTTTCGGGTCATGGCGATCTGTGCGGAAGCAGCGTGCCTGGGGTAGCCAAGCCCATGGGGATGGTGGTTGCTGGTGTGTGGCCGTGGTGGTTCCTGGTGGACAACAGTCGTGACAACAGTGACCCAAAAGGTATAGGACTTTACAGCCCAGGGAATACCTGTCGGCGTGCGGATAGACTGATAGACATGGATAAAGAGCCCTGCGTGGATGTGTCGGTGTTTGAATCATGTTGCACTTTCTGGCGCAGATCTTTCACTGGGTTCCCACCTGTCTTTTTTCTCCAGCACCCTGGTAAGAACACCGCCTCCCACGAATGATATACCTTTGAGAGATTCCATTGTTCCAGAGTTGTGTTCGAGCTTGGATTCTACTAGTCATGCGAAAGAGAGCAAAACCAGAGGAGCCAGCAATCCTTGATGTTGTCCTACAGGAACCGTGCCTGGCACCAGGTGGGACAATCCTACCTCATTTGCGAACCGGTGCCGAGCCGAGGTCATGGTCGGAGTCTGAAGCCTCCGAGGCCGTGTTTCTATTTTTTTGTGTTCCTGGAAGCCGGGAAAATGCTTCTCACCAGCTCCCCATTTCAGGGTATTTTTAAAAAGGAAATCCTTCTCTGATTCCATCGGTTTGTATAGGAAGTGGACCAACTCCAAGGGTTGTGGTCCCAGAACCATCGGTGTTTGGGGTCATGCAGCTTCAGAAGCTGCATCCCATCCGCGCCGAATGACCAGGACACCGCTGCGACCTGGGCAGGCCTGAGGGAGTTGAGGAGCTTGGTTTGGGTGAGTTCTTTTTCATGGTTTTCATTACATATTGAGGGGTTGGAGGGGTTGGCAACTCAGATACCAAGATACGTGAGGCTCAGCAACTTTTTCTTTTGCTCGAGTCCTTAGCCGACTGTTGTCGAATTCGAGGTTTTCTTGACCGTGATGATGTTTGCCGACTTGGTGAGGTTAGGTCTAGGTCCAGGTCCATCAGGGGTCCATGATCCGAACGCACTTCTTAGAAGTGAGATGCTTTCCAAAGCGAGGACTTTGGAGGATCCACGTGTCCTCCATGTGTTCTGGTGTGTGTTGTTCCGTTGGATGAACATGGCAAAAGTCTAGTCTACCTGGAAAGGAACACACCCCCTCTCTCATTCCCATGGAAGTGCCACCAACATGGAGAGGAAAGCTGCATTTGGAGCCATGCCCATCCACGACCTTATGACGTGTTTGTTGGAGGGTAAAAGAGACAAGCAGGACCACAAGTTTGTTGGGTTGTGCTCTACGGGTTTTAGTCATCTACCCTGTATTCCCAATCTATATATGGGCTCGTGAACTTTTCGGGGCCCCCTGGGAAGCAATTCATGTTCAATCATCTGATCC